GGAAGAAATGAACGTGTTGATTGCATTCAACATGTTCATCAGGCATCAACAAACCATGCATTTTTTTGTGTAGTGCCTTTTCCACACAGAGAAATAAAACGTATACTTCCTGATCATAGTTCAGTTATAAAATCCTTAAGCACCACGGAGCGTCTCTCCTGCTACCAGAGTAGCCAGGTCTGTGTGACAAAACGGGTCAATAAAACCCGCCCAAAGACCAGGAGAATTATAAATATGACCCTGCAAAACCATATAGACTGTTTTTAAAGTCCAACAGCATTGCTGTCATTGCCATATGTATTGTTATATCTACAAAGTAACACCATAAATGTTTTATATGCCAGTTTTCCCCAAAGTGTTCTTTCACCTATAGGCCCCACAACGGCCTTGTGTAATTAGTTACAGTACCATGAACCATAAAGCAACTAACCTGTTGCTTTGTCTTTTTGCTTTCTCTCCCCTTTTTCCTCTTCCTCCCTGCCTGGACAACATGACGGTTTTACTTCATATTAATTTAGTTTTCCTTAAACATTATTAAATGACACCCCAGGAGCAGGCACTAGACAACCGTCACATATAAGACACTATCACAGGTACAGTGACTGACATTGCCTTGTTATTACCAATGGTAACATCGTGCGGGCATGGACCTTGGGCCATTTAAAAGGCACAATGAGTGGGATTTTCCTCAAAGCAACGTAGGACATGATCCCTCTCAATCATCACTTATGATGCACTAGGAGTGTGTGGCGGGGTGTGTATCTGCAGAGACCCTGCCCTCTGCATATATTTTCTCTTTAATTTTCAATTTGCTGTGTTCGGGACGTTTCCGGGCATTTCTCTGCCCCTCACACTGCCTCTGCCTCCAGATGTTGCTCCTCGGCCTTGTCTCTCTCGGGGCTCTGTTCTGAATATCACTAAACTCGCTGGCTAGTGTCGTCAAAACGGAGAGGAGCGGCCAGCTTTAAATGTTATGTTGAAAAAACGGCAACAGACAATTCCTTCTCATTGTGCCTTTAATACTCAACTCAAAGACTCACCCTTCACAGGACGTCAAGCCTCCTGTTTTTAGTTCATCCTAATTGGCTTGTTTGTTTTAGGGATAAAATCCTCCATTTCGACACACAGCAGCCAGAAGCCAATTAGTATTATTGAGGCCCGGAGGCTACAGACGTTTTGGAGGCCCTTCCCTCCCTTCACGATATGCCAACATTCATTCAGAACCTCCCTTCAATGGACAGCGACAAATATGAAATGGTGTGGAGGGGTTCTGAATTACTTGTGGCTTCCTAATCAGTGAACAAAATATGGAACTTATCAATATAAAAGTAAGTCAACAATAAGTCAAGACAAAGCTAGGTTATGAGCCAATTAGGCCTGTGTACATAACACCAGAAGATCAGTCTTTTCAATTAAAACCTGGAAAACATAACAAGCAAAGAGATATTCTCTTACCTTCAGAAGTGCTTTCTTCTGCCCTTCTTCCCTGCAAACTCCTTGATTGTGTCCTTAAAATCCACGGCCCAAAGAATGTCATGCTCAAAGGACATCCGGGTGAGATGGCTCAGTCTTTCTAGCTGCAAAGCTGACTGCAGATTATTGCCAATCAAAGTTTAGAGAAAGATCTCTCTCCGCTTCCGTTGGTGACTGGGACGGTGAGGACAAGGCGTAGAGCTGTGTATCTGTACTAGAAAACACAGTCTGCTGATCTTGAGTCCAGTCCTGCCACTAGCCTGTCTATTACAATGATAAAAATCGAACGTAAAAAAACTCTATCTAAATAAAACTTTTACAAAAAATCTCAATAAATACAGTATGAAAAATCCTTTAACCAATCACTTCTGTATCTCTAAAATCCAGACTACACCCCTGCCAAGATTCAAGGACTGATGACCGTGATGCCAAAACAACGGCAAAAAACTATTTCTTTAGAAAGCCGGATTGTTATAGGTGCATATCACAAACAATATCAATGTCCTGATTCAAATCGGATTCAGTTTGTATCTCTTTCTGCCTTCCTTTGTTTGCCTTCCTTTGTTTGCCTTTACTATCCAATACCCGTGAAAATACCAAAATGAAAAAGCCAATAAATCCACTTTCAGTTCATTTCCAAATAAAAGGAAATGCTCATTTCCAATACACAGTGTCACGTCCGTCAGTGTGAGTTGGGCATGGAGCTCTGACAGCTAGGAATTTATCAAAAATGAGAAGTGTGTGTGTCGGCCAGGGTGCAATGCATGACTCATATCAGTCAAGTCCATACAGGTCAAGCCACCTCGGACCCCCGTCAGCCTGCCTGCGAGCTTATTGTTATTGCGTTATCACACTGAGAGGTGGAAGATGGAGAAGCAGGCCCTGTGAACTGCAAGTCACTAGGATAGAGCAGGGTCATTATTAACTCGCCCTCGGCCACCGGCCTCGCATCTTCCCTCCCACCTCAATAGATTATGCTGTGGGTGGGAGAACAGTCGCAACAGATTTTTCTGTCCCGTGTTTTCAGCACTGCCACTGGCTCCTGTGACTGATGTGCTGCGTTCTTACCAAACGACATATTTGCCATTAACTGCAACCATCATGGACGTTCTATCATCTGGGCCCGTCACAATCAATGATGATTGCCTTACCCGAACGAGACATTTTCTTAAAAACACACCAGCTTTTATCGTCGCCAGCCCTGCCGTCTTGAAATAGGTTTTCGCAGACCTTGTGCGACATCATTTGATTTGACCGTGTAAAGAGATGAGAGGGAAGCTTCCGGTCCGCGCAGCCGTTAAGAGCAATCTAATTTAATGCAATGTAAAGTCATGTCAGAGATAAGATGAATCCGCACGGAGCTCAAATTGAATCCGCCATCAGTCGGGGTAGACGTACAGATACATCTCTATTCACCAGAATAGGGCTGCAGCCCACCTCCCGTGGTGAATTTGTGTCAAAATGAAGGAGATTAATTGATTCACGTGGCTACCCCCCTGCATGGCTGGAGACTTAGCACAAAGCCAGCAGGGGGAAGAGATGCGTCTTTGTACTTGTGTTTCCTTCTGCAGACTTGCAATGCCAGGGTGCCAGGGCTTGTTCCCAAACATGCTCGCACATCCCGTCAGCCCATGTGGCCCCAACGTTCTCAACACTACAAACAAGCTACTGATTGATTACAGAAGTCGCAAATCTGTGCACTTTACACGACAGAGGAAAGGACTAGTCAGAGCCTGCTGGACTCAACTGAGGAAAAATTGTACCCCGCCGCCGGCAGATCTGTCATGGAAACCAGCCCGGTGTTGTTTATCATTGGCTTATAGTCTGCTCAAACAGCTCAGCGTGTCTGCTCTTTTATGTGGATATTAATAACTTATGAGTGAGAATTTGAACAATCAAAAGGCATGCCTTCGTCTGTTGCGATTGCTCTCCTAGTCGGAGGGTGTGACGACGAAAATGAAACAAAGGAGCAAATAATAAACTATTCATGTGCAAAGCTGCAGTGACAGCAGCGACTAAAACACTGCCTGCACTTTTTAAAATGACTGAGCTTCATTACCACATTTATATGCTCATTAGGTAATCTGTATGATTCTGATGATTGCCTGGAATTAATATAATTTCCCTGTGTGTGCGTGTGCAGAAAATGCCCTGTGAATAATGCTACCATCAAGATAAGCATCCCTGCATCCCCACAAGCCCTCTCTCTGTATTTCATAGCATTCATTCATCTAGAAAGTCTCAGTTCCAGTGCTTGCATGCAGCCTTTCAGTGTGAAACAATGGCTGCAGTAATTACAGACACTACCGCTGTGACAATGAGACACTGTCCGCTTAAGCATTCATATCAGCTTCCAAAAGAAAGAAGCAGTGGAGACAAATCTGAGGAACTGTGTTTTCTTTCAAGCAACATGTGACAGAAAAAACCCACATTTCCATGTTTGTGTAATCTGACATAAACAGATGCTTTGAGGACAGAGTCGTCCTCGTCCTTTTGTGCGTTGCACACAATGGCAATTGTGTTTTTTTTTTCTTTTTTAAATCTGAGGTGCATTATGCGGCTTTTCATCATCTTTTTAAATGTGTAGGGAGATTTATTGCCTCGTAAAGAGAACGTAATTGAACCTGTGGAGACAACATTGACAGCCAAACAAAACATCCTAGTGTGGCCTTTGACCTTTTATCACATTGTCTGACTATTTCTGGAGTCCATTCTCCCTGCTGGATGGGCTCTCTCCTCTGCATCTTTTAGAAAATCATCCGTCCCTGTCCTGTCTCTCATTTTAAAAGTGCACAGGCAGCAGAGAGAGTAGAGTATATTGATAAGAAACAGAGCGCAGAGTGCAGAAAAGGGTCAAACAGTGAATCACCGGAGCTTATCAGCCACTCATAAAACACAGTAACTAGATGTGACATCGCGTGTAAAGCGCCACATGCAGATTAAGTGTGTCGGGCCCTCGATCAATGGATCATCAAGACTCTCCAATTAAAGAGGTGGCTGAATCCTAGAGGCTCTGTTTGGTAGTAATGATAAAAAAAGTCCATTAAAGTTGCTAATTAAATGATAAGCGTAAATTAAAATACAGGTCAAGCGGATGAACTGCGCTTTTTTTTAACACAGCAATATCTTCTGGTTGTAAGTGTGGAGGTGTTTTGTTCGGGGAGACGTCTCTTCCATCGAAAACTCAGAAGTGCTTGAAAATAGTTTTGCAGAGTATTGAGGGTTGAGATTATGAGATGATGGGATCCTGGACACAGACATTAAAAAGGCCCCTTGTGGTCACTTTGTCTGTGGTCACTTTGAGTGTCTTTACGGTCACTTGACTTTCTTTGTGGTCATTCTGTGTTTTTGTGGTCGCGTTTACTCTCTTTATAGCAATTTTGCGTCTCTTTGTGGTCATTTTGGATGTATTACGTCTCTCGGTGGACGTTTGCCGTCTCTTTGTGGTCCCTTTGACTCCCTTTGTGGTCAATTTGCGTCATTTGGTGGACTTTTTTTTGTCTCTGGTTGTTTCGAGTGTCTTCGTGTTTTTTTTTTTTTATTTCACTCTCTTTTGTCATTTTGAATCTTTGTTGTCATGAGATGTGACAAAGAAATCCCCCAAAAAAAATCACGGTTGTTAAGCAACAACATATTTTATTTACTTTCCTGTTTTATGCACTATTTAGAAAATAAAACACATTGAATAAATACAAATTTAGAAAGCGACTGAACTTCGCCGTACTCTCACAGCAAACAGGCGTTTTTTCTTACGGAGCTCTCTCGCTGTAGCGGAGGGATTCGCGTTGCAGAATCCATCCTAAAGCAGACTTGGGCCACACACACTGCAATGAAACACTTAAGACTGGGCATGCAGATGCTGAAGAGGTCCCCATTTACAGACAAAGAGAGAATGGATTGGCACATTGATAAGACGTTGAGAACATCTAGAAACACCCGAGGGAAGGAGGAAAAAAAACATCTATATACACGGAAAATAAATAAAGAGAAAGTAGGTCCAAGACAACTCTATTGTACAGATATGTCCATCGGGTGTGACCGACTTCTTTCCTTTTCACCCTCAGATTACCTTCAATCGTCAGCCTCACCCACGATAAAGTTCAAATATAGTACAGTACGACATGGGATGTTCACCAACAGCAGATTGCACCATTTACAGTGTTACAAACAAACACAAAATATCACCCAGTGGTTGGCATCAACTGTAGTTCCCGTTCAGTGTTTGTTCATTGTAAGGCAGGATACAGCTGAGCTCTTTGAACCCCTGTCGTTGAGGTGTATGACAGGTAGTCCGGCTGCCTTGACAGTGGCCGTGTATAAAATGAACTCTACTCCTGTTACATGTCCTCTGGTTTGGCAGATGTACTGTAAAGTGGCACAAACAAGTACAGGTTGGATCAGAGTGCCCGAGGAAAAGCAAAAAGGGTGTCAGCAGTATGTTACATGTTGTCCAGTGAGCTTTCTCAATCAGTCTTTACGGCAGACAATGTTTCATCCGGGCATGGCGAAGAAGACAACCAGAGCTGTATACATGGACAAAGGAGGCAGGAGCACAGATCCAGGATACTGGATCTAGGATCCAGACCTTCTCCTCGAAAAGAGGGACGAGAAGTGAGGGATTGGTGCTATCTGACTTCCAAGCAGTCCAGGTACTCCTTGGCCAGGTCATAGCAGAAACGATACTGCTCCTACAACAAGCACAGATATTGACCGGGATTATTTTGCATATCAACAGGAAAAATAAATGCATTTTACCTTGGATGTTCCCATACTTTGGGAAATCCTTTGTTTTAATATTCAGTGCAGTCCAGAAAGAAATGTTGTGATCAAATTATTACTTCTTGGTATCTAACCCAGTTAAAGGATTAATCTAGTGATACTCTGTGTTTATCTTAGTGTCCCATGTATTCCTCCTTACTAAAATTGATACAGTCCCATTTAGCTACTCTAGCTGGCAGTAATGACAGTGCGCACGCATTCACAAACATGTTATAACTAACTTAATTGCCCCCGACAGGCAAGAGAAAATAAAGACTTTTCTAAATTAAATCTAAAACTTTTTAATACCCTCTGAGGCATTTTAGAGAGCACCGAATCCAAAGACTTTTAGGGGCTATTCACAAGTCGTGTCTAGAAATGTGTGGAAAACAGCAGCCGCGCCGCTTTCATCTTTTTATCCAAGGTGCTTCGGAGGTTGCACTCCTGTCGCGCCTGCTGTTACTAAGCAGCCTAAACCTGTGCCCTGCGATGGCGATGACGATGAAGTTGCCGTTACTTAGCAAGAAGCTTCACTTACTACATTTAACAAAGTCAAAACAAAGATAAATGGATTTCCAACACAGCAAATCCCTCACAGTAGCTTTGCTCCTCGATTTGTCGGTGGGAAGAGTTTTCAGTTTGGCTGAACTTTCAACCGGATGTTGTGAAGTCCTTGGAGGTAAAGGGTGGAGCAAGTCCCGTGGAGCTGATTGGATAATTGGTGTCACGTGCACCTCTGTGCGCTTGCTGTATTTGAAAAAGTTGTGATTTTTCCATAGACGTGCCCCAAAAAATAGGTGCTTTACAGCGACAGCGTCAATCTCGTTTTTGAGTGCGTCTTCCGCAGATCTTCATTGACAACAATGGATTTGTGCGCGCTAAAGATGCAACATGTGAACAGCCCCTATATGGTAAATGGACTGCATTTGTATAACGCCTTTCTACCTTACCGGACAAAGCTTTTACAATATGCCTCTCTTTCACCCATTCACACACACACACACACACACACACACACACACACACACACCCTGTAAAAAGTATTGTATCCAAAGCCTGATATATTTTAATCCCACATAAACCATCCTGGTAAATACAAGTGCACAAAATGTGTATTAATTCACTGCTAGAAATTGTAAATTGTCTGCTAAAAGCTCCGGTTTTTCCAGCTGTTTAAGGAAATAATCATGCCTTTTTATTATTTAAAGGAAAATATATATATGCAGTATATATATATATATATATATATATATATATATATATATATATATATATATAGGTGACTCAGTTGTGTTTATGATACGTTTCTTTGTAGAGATTTAATAAACGAGATACAATATGCTAATAAGTGAGCTTTAGAGGGTCCTGGTGGCAGATGTAGTTACTTTTGGTCAAAGCTGTGCAAGCTGTTTCCCCCTGCTTACAGTCTTTGCGCGAGGCTCAACTAACCATTACCTACCTGGCTGTAGTTTCATATTCAGCAGACAAATACACAAGTGGTAGTAAGTAAGTAAATGTATTTCCCAAAATCTCTAACTATTCCTTTTAAGACTTCTCAATTTGCGCCCCATTGCTTTCCTTTAATTTGTATGCATTATGCTCCATCTACAATTATGTTACCATTCAAAACCTATTACGCACACTTTTACTGTGGATTTTCCCATGTATTTCTAAATAGACATATCTACAAATATAGTCAACAAATTAGTCAAACATTTGATATATTTATGGAAAAGAGGCTCTTTTAATTTCTCTGCCTTCCTGCAGAGCAGTTTTCCACTTCACTGAAATCCCTGGCTGAGGCAGCAACACAGTATGATATAATATGTTGCTGTAAAGAGAGATAATGATCCCTGCTTGCTCACCATTGTCTCCACCATGTTTGGCTTAGAGTTGCGCAGCGTTTTGGCAGCAAAGAACACGTCCACCATGCTGTGGTGACGAATCATTTCCAGGATCATGGTGCTGGCACAGAAGGTGCCGCTTCGACCGCCGCCATTCCTGCTCCAGAAAAGAACGAACAAAGACGCAGACACAAACACACAGAATAGAAGCATAAAGACATGAGTGACCTAATAAAGATGTGGAAAAGCAGCCCAGACAGCCTCTCAGAGGGGGTGGCACAGAGTGAAATGTCACAGTTTGACTGAGCACAGATCACGCATGCTGTCAGAAAAAGGCCAACTGGCAGACTTTTAAGATGAATATCTGAGCAAAGTTCTCATTGAAATACAGAAGCGGTACACTTAATCAGATTTGAGACGTCTAACATGCAGTCTGACCTCCAGAGATCAAAGGGGCCTGACAAGGAGATGAGAGACAGATCTAATGGAAAGCAGGCGCCCGCGCTCAAGCAGCTAATGTAAAGACACCATGGCTTAGAACGTTTGTATACTTTATTAAGTCTCATTACATTAAGTCTCATTACACTACATTACACTCATTACCTCGAGCCACAGAGGGGAAATGACCATTAAGTGTGACAATGGCAAGTCTTTAATTACTGTAGTTAGGTGAATAATATGAATGTTGTCCAGCCATTAATGGAGAGTCAGAGGGTGGGTTGACACCTAAAGGTCCGGTTCTTGAATTGAGCCAATGCAGGAATGACATTGTTTCAATTCTCCAACTGGTCCAGTTTGCGTTAACGAAGGCAAAACTCTGATGTGTTTAGTCCACAACAGAGTTTGAATCCGGCGTTCTCGCTAACCCAAACAAACTGCACCAAGGAGGTAAACACTCCAGAGTTTGCTCAAATAGTTTTGAATGTCACATCAACCTCACATGACCATAGAGTGCAGATTAAGTCTCAAAACACACACATGTATGGTGCAGATGTATGTAAGATTACTCACAGACAGTGGACGATGGTGCGTCCCTCTCCACACTCCATTTGCCAGTTGTGAACCTGAGCCAAGAGGCTGAGGAAGGCTTTCTTGGAGTCGGGCACGTCACGGTACGGGGACCAGCGCAGGAACTGGAAGTGACGCACCACAAGCTGGCCTTCTTGAATCTTTAGAGAGCAAGGGTTTTGGAGAGGGATGAAGAAGTGAGAAGAGTTTTTTTTTTTTTTAATATAAGACATATATGCATTAAACCCAACACACACGCTTAACAACACATTACAAACTCATTCAAACATTTATCTGGTGTTCAGCCAGAGAGGATTCTGTCAACGCTTCAAACCTGCTTGAGTTCCACTCAGCTCCAGTTCTTTACTTCTAATTGGCTGTTAAAGTTGCAGTGTGCCGTAACCTACCACATTAAAGTGAGACATTATTGAAATGAATGTAAACCAAGACCATGCCATCAAAAGTATCACCACTGCATTTTGAATGAAGTGTCAATGACTGTAGCTGAATGCCTCCCTTCTACTCTTTCCTGAACTGTTTACAGCCATGTTTACAGCAGCTAGCAGTCTTCTTTGTTCCTACCTTGGGTGACATGCTGCTAAGTTTCTAAGCACAGAATAGCGTACATGTGTGTCCTGGTGCACACACACAAGACACAAACAAAAGTACTACCCTGTTGGATAGCATTAAAAGTGGTCAAAAACTCCACAGGGTACCTTTCATTTGGAGGAACACAAGCACTAACAGACCCACTGGTGTTATTGAGAAGCTATTATTCATCTCAACAATGGTGTCCTTTGTTACGCTTCATACACCCAGTTTTCACAGTACATTATTGCTTGGCAAGCACGCTACCCTTAGCACCTTTGCTGTATCTACTGGACAATTCGTAGAGTATACCTTCTTGGGACAGAGCCTATCGGTGTCTCGCTCTGTGGTGCCTGTCTCCTCGGGATCCTGCAGAGAGCCACGTGGGAACAGTTTCTGACAAGGTGTCAAGATATTGGAGGGGCTGGGTAAGAGTGGAAAGGTGCCGGGGGTACTGACAGGGGAGGTTTAGGCAAGCTTAAGGGTCAGGTAAGGTGGCGCAAGAGGAGGGTTTGTCAACTAAAAGGAAGCTTCAACAACAAGGACACGTGTGCTCAACTAGCTGCATGAAGCATCTACAGGAGACTGCTGAGCACCTACTGAGGTCAAAGGACGGGAGCTGGAACTGCTCCGACAGTGTAAAGTGGAAACTGGAGCTAAGCTACATTACTCAGACAACACCCAGACATGCGTTTACACACACAGACTCACAACCCACGAACACATTCAACAACACAACAAAAACATACTGAAATACTGAATATGGTTAAAATCAAGAAACTTGCTTTAGTAATTGTAGACAGTAATACCATGGAGGTTTATAACAGAAGTTCTGTGTATATGTGGATAATAGCATCACCATACTGTTGATACAGTTGCTTTTCTGAGAGTATGATTATTATGCTGCAAATCATTCCGACCACTGGGACCTAGGTCACCGTTCTGAATCGTTATATTAGTATCAGGCTTCATTAACCCTCTTAAAAATAAATGCATTGATTGAGTGCCAGGACGATGCCGCCTACATCAATGCAGAGCTTGAGCTGGGTCTTTGCTGAGGGAACATTTGAGCAGGTGTTTCTGCACATATCCATCATTAAAGCAAAAACATGTCGTCTGATAAGAAAATGAAACATTTCAACAGCAATTCTGCCATTAACTCTGTCAAACTGACATACCGAAGGCAACTTAGAGTCATTCAGAGTTTACACTTGTTTGTGCTGTGAAGACAGCGACATAAAGGAAATGACATGCTTTCATTAAATGAATTCAGGGGAAATAGGGTGGAGACTTTTAGAAAATAAACAGGTTTCATGAGGAAAACTTAGTAAACTTGACGTATGGTTCAGCCTCTCACCGTGCACTGCTGTCATCAAGAGCTCGGTTGAGTTCAGTCAAGAAAATACTGCAAATGTTTCGCTGGACATTCAGTATTATGTTATATTTACAGTACTGTGAAACTCTACAATTAACATTCTACTTGACACTCAAGACTGTCACGCTTTTTGGTGCACACCACCCGCTGTAAGGCTTTTCACAACTCAAGCTTGCCAATGCTTAATTAACTACATCAATTGTATTAGCAAAACTGTTGTATGTTCTGAATATAGTGGCTTTGTAGTCTTTTTGGCACTGGTTTGTTCACACAATTCTTTTTGCCATGTGGCACATATTGTAGACTGAAATTCCCCATATCTCGCACTTGTAATTATAATTAAAAGGCTGACGAGAAAAGTCTTTCCCACATGGCTGCCTCTGTGTTTGGTGTTAGCATGATGTTATCTGTCCAGATACTGTGTTTTGTCAGCTATGAAGCTGAAATGATCACAGAACATGATTGTCCAGAGTAATGAGTGAAATTATCAGTTGCAGATTCAGAGGCAACATGATTGCATACAAAGTCAATGGAAACATACAGTACATGTTCCAGGTGTGGCTCTAACCCTCTTCACGCCTCTTACATTCTTTTTTTAGATCGCAAACATTTAGTTTATTGGCATGTATTTTTACAAGCGGCGGCTCTGATTTACACTACACTAATCGGGTCTATAAATCATCCTCTTGTCGTGGATCCACTTACCCGAGTGATGTTCTGAACCCGGAAGAGACGGATGATCACGTCATCGTCGGCTGTCCTGGACAGAAGCTCCACCGTCATCGGCCCAAACTGCTGCAACCCCGGCTCGGGCCAATACTGCAGACAAGGCTGCGAGGAGACAAGACGAGAGGAGAGGAGAGGATGTAACAGGTCATTAGCCCACACTTGCTTGAGGCAGTACAAATCATTATGTCAGCAGCCAGTGATGGTGAGGCCCAGTAACAAGACACCTGAGTATTGACAGCAGAGACAATTAGCCTAAATGACAATGATTATCTACAAATAGCAACCGTAAATTAAATGAGCAAAAAAACCACCCGCTCGTCGCCAGGAACAATCCCTCACATAAGCCGCGTTCACCTAGCTTGAATTATTCATGAGTGAAAATCATTACCATTAGCACATTATAAATTAATGGAGAAGGAGACCTTGGCTAAGCCTGGGAGGGATAAACAGGAAGTTAGCCGAGAGGTTGGCACGCGCAAAAACCAAGGTCTCCCATCACCGCTGCCCCCCCCCCCAAACCCCAATGGTGGAGGAAAAAACACACAAGGGAGCTGTGTTGACACGCTGACGAGTTCTGCAGAGACTTTGGGGTTGAGGGTACCCCTGGAGTAGGAAGTGCTAATGGCATTTCACAATGACATAAGGGTATTAACAGGTGACATTGGACAGGGGGGGAGATACACATTTATACATTCAGCCAGGAGACAGGCAGCTCCAACTCAGCAGGGCAAACAGAGTGCGAGTGTGTGTGTGTGTGTTGGGGAGTGAACTGTTAATCCACTGGCAGCGAGAGACAGGAAGGGAGATGAAGAAAAAGAGTGACAGAGGAAGAGGGACAGGTTGCAGCTGACAGGCATTGGTGGAAATGTTGAGCAGGAATCCAACATGACACGGTGACAGAGCGGCGATAGGGAGACGGCAGAACAAACCCACGCACGAGCAAACATGTGGGGAAACGATAAGAATGTGTTAATTCCATGACAGCCCGTGTAAATTAGATGGACGGCGTGAATGCTGGATTGAAGCTTTGTGGCAGAGCATCAGTTGAAAGGCCAGACATGTGATGACCCATCCTCCCTTTGCTGTGTGTCCCCTTTCACGTCTTATCTGACGGAAAGGGCGATATGGATGGCATGTTGTCACGACACGGGAAATGGTAATATAAAACGTCATGGGTAACTATGAGTTTAAAATGAAATAAGCAGGACTTTACCTGTGATAAAAAGTAGTGCGGACGAAATTCAGAAAACTACTTTGTGTCAGTATTTTATGAATATACAATGATACCAAACATTTATTAAGTACTCAATCGGCTAAGCAACAAGTGGAACAAAATCCAATAACACCAGAGGTGACAGTTTGTACTCCGCTACTTGGACACTGGAAATAATATAGTTTTAAGCGCTGAGAAATCTCAGCTGTCTGTCAAAACTATTCATCAAGTTTAACCCCAATATGTTTAACAAGAAGTGCACATTGAATAATCCCCAACTGTAATAAAAGCTGGTTTCATATCAAGTACATCTGGTTCATACTTTGATGTGTGGAATTAATTAAATTCACTGTGCTCTATGGGCATGATTGTGACAGGGACAATAATTGAAGTAAGTCATAATGAGATTAAAGAAAAAGAACAAGATACAATTCATGAAATCAAGAAAAGTAAAAATGAGACTATAAAGAAAAAGTGTGCAAAGTATTATGATTTGTTGCTGAAACATATCACATGCTACATGTCTTGTCTGTCTATCTCTAATTTAAATGAATTATTTATTCATGCTCCTGTGTATTAATGTAAGTGTAATGTCAATCAAAGACATCGCGAGTGGGTTCATTCATGAAACATGATGTCATCCATAGGAAATCGGTCAACTCGGCCCCTTCTCTTAGCTAAGGAGTTCTCTTTGTTCTTTACGAAAAGTGTCTCTCAGCAGCTTTGTGAATATGTCTAAAGAGGAAACTCTTTAGTGCCATTTAGGAGGACTCCTGGTTGTAAGATAAGCGCCTTTGTGAATACAGCCCCGGAAGTCTTACGTTAATTCAGAACCTCATATAATGTGAATGCGACAAAACTGTAACTGCAGGACTTAATAATTATCATTTATCAGCTACACAGGATCATAAGAACAGACTGTGATGGTACTACGATTAATATTTATTGACTTTTAATCAACTAAACTCTAATTTAACTTTATTAAATGACTGATTATTCCAGTGTCCCATGATTATCTATTTTTTTCTCCACATTCATTGGCAAATGCAGCTCAATAAGGTCCCAGTCAGACTGAGGTGGACGAGCAGGGATACAGGTGTATTTTGCCTTCTACACAGCAATTACAGAGCTCTTCATTGTTGAAAATATCCAGACTTCGAAGGCTGTTTTTTTGATTCCTCAGTCAGGAGGAATTGCTCTTTGCAGGAGAGACTGCTGGCTAAGTGGACAGGACTTAGGAGACAGCCTGACAGCTTTTTGGCTTTTACATTGCTTTTTGTCTTTATACCTCTGCTCTGGTTTTCAGCTTACTGCTTGCCTTACAGTGTTTGGAACTGAAGGGAAATTGGCTCTGACACTCTACACTCCACATATCTTCTTTAGGTAATACATGGGAGTACATTTCGCAGAGGAAGAGCTGCTCTGGCAGCCAAAGTTAAACATCAGTAAGCTGAATAAATAAGAAGAAGTGAGAATAAATGAAAACGGCTTGGAATCTAACAGTTCTCTATGATAATGAAAACAAATAATGATTCATGAGAATTGTGGATCCTTAAAAACGGGGCCATTTAGAAGAAAATGTTCGGAAACACTCTTATATTGCACTGTGGTGAATTCTGTTTTATTTGAGTGTTAGTAAACAACACTGATCACAAAATCCTAATCAAATCCAGCTGTGATGCAGATAATGTCACACATAGAGGTTTTCAAAGTTACCCATGGCTAAATTACAAGTGGGAAGCTGATAAGATAAAAGTTAATAATAAAATGACTTCTACTTCTAAAATACGTGTTGACAAATGAATCTCTAACTGGTTTATTAGCCTCTCCCCTCTTACCCAGGCAGAGTTGGACTGGTTGAGCTGGTTTAGCATCACCACCGAGGTGCAGCCGTAGTCGTACAGGAGCCTCCAGAAGTCAGTGGTGGTGCTGGGCAGCGGGTGCGGCGTCACAACGAAGGCGGCGGGCCGGAGGAAGCTGTCTGCGAGCGCTGCGTTGATGTAGTTGCTGCTTTCTCCCTCGCTGGTGACGAGGAAGGCCAGGGAGCGGTCCGGCGGCAGGACGTCCATGCTGCGGTTCTTCTCGCGGTTCCTCGGCATCAGAGAAATGCTGCACTCCTCCACATCCAGGTGAGGGGTCACCGAGTTCAGAGTCTGCGGAAGGAGGAGTGAAGGCAAAGAGAGTGTGCAGAGAAGATAATTAAAAAGGTTGGCGTGTGCGACAATGTGTTCGGATTCTAGATGCAGAGATAACGACAGAAAATAAAGATTGTGATAAGAAGAGACAGACGCAGCGGAACAGAAATAGGATCAAAGAGAGATGGACAGAGGCAAAGGAAATATTCAGCCTGACTGTCAATACTTGACAGGCACAACTATCTCCAATCATCTCCGGGAAACTTTAAAACACATTCATTATCAGTTAAAATCCCCACAAGGCTTAATGGATAAAAACACATTTTGCACAATCTCATACATTATGAATAAGCATATTATGGGGCAATGGAAATTGAAATGAACTGATTATCTAACTTGCTTCATATTGTGAATGACTCCCCATTGGTTTAGACAACATGAATAGAACATTCAAGCTCATAACTGGAATATTGCATCTCGACTACAGGTCCCAATTACGAGAGGCTGTCTCATTGTACAACGTATACGAGCAGCGCTGAGAGAGGGTAATTGTGCTGCATAGGGAAAGGAACAATTCTAATTATTCTGGGCAAAGGTCACCAATCAATAACATAATTATAACTGGTATTAACTGGACAAGGCAATACCGTTACATAAAAGACAATTACACTTTCTTATTTGCGATCTAAAACTTTTCTGCTGAGCAAAAGGTCTTTTTATGTTTAATGTATACTGATTAGGAAAGCAGCCTTGGTGGCCATCACTCTCATGCTGACTAGTCATTTATTTTTAACAACCTGGGCATATTTCTCACGAAAGACCCGCATTTCAAGACAAACTGTGTTCAGAAGGGCAAATGTAAAAGCTCTCGCGAAGAGGACATACACTGAAAAATAAGAAGAAAAAAAAAGTCAAGCCAAGGCTTGTGCAGATAATGTAACAGCATCAGAGTGAGGTCTGGGACATTTGGCGATATGCTGCAGCCTGTTCACACATATATTCTGACATGTATGTAGCTTTGCGCATTAAGATGGCAACATCAAAGTTGAACTTTTAGCTGGGTGTACCTACTAAACTGGCAACTTTGCGCACTGTGTGAAAGTTGAATTAAGCTGTGAGGATGTCACTACAAGCACAACTCTGGATGTTTTTGTGGTTTGAACAATTCAGTTCAACTGTTAGTCCATGACTAGGACTTCACGTAGTCAAATCGGATTAGTCAAGTCTTGTCTAACGTCTATTGGCTGTCAAATCCTGTTTTGTTCTTTTTATATCTCAAGACAGTAAACAGTAAAAAACACAAAATATTGGTTGAGATTCATGTGACTATTGCTTAGCTGTTGTTTCAGAATATTGGGCTGCACTTTTTGTTGTGTGTGTGTGTGTGTGTGTGTGTGTGTGCTGAAACCGTGCGACAGACACGGTTTCTTAGTCCACCTGCCTGTCGTGGTTGTAAATATAACTTTCCGGTCTAATTCCACTTTCCCCATTGTAGCATTCCCCAGATTTAAGGGGAATGACAGAGAAGATCAGGAACAGTCAACGAGAGAGAGACAACTGTTTCTATGTGCCTCCCTCAGCTAATTTTAGAGAATCGTTCATAAACTCAAAATCAATCACGCTCTTATTGTGCTACGTTCTTCTCTGACTAATAAATGTATTCTTTGATTTTGAAAATATCACCAACATGCTGCTATGATGCTCCCGTAAATTTGAATAGTGCTACGTAGTCTAGAAGGTGATTTATTCAGGCAAACTAAGGAGATTGATTGAAAGCACGAGATTTTTTCGACCTTTTATTAGATAGATAGGATCAATGTACTGGAAAGGGGGGCGGGACAACAAGTAGCAAAGGGCCAGAATTAACCAAAATAGGCTATGTATCATAATTTATGGGGAGAAACCAAGCAATTCTATGTATAAACAGACATTAAGCTCCTCCATATAGCCAGAATGGAATGATCTTTAGTTTCAAAATTGACTTTATTCCACTGTTGAGGAACAGAAACTTGGGGATTCAAGCTTTTAGGTTGTGTGTGTTCAATCAAAAAATAGCATATTTAAGTACAAGTTGTGCATTTCTGTGTATTACCTGAAACTCCTCTCTGAGCTGCGAGGTGTTGCTCTGAGAGTCAACCTTTAACATCTCCTTATAGGTTAGGACAAACTCATTAACCGGGATGCCAGTCTCTCCACACAGACAGGCCTCCAGAATGGCATCATGGATGAACACATACTGCTCCTGAGAGACGGACAGCAGGGGGAAAACATTCACAAATGTACAAAGTCACACAAAACCCCCACTGCACTTATGAGCATCCTGTTAATTGCCCACTTGTGAGGAACAATGGAGAATTTAATCACTGCTGTGAATGTTGACTAATAGTCGCCGTGCCCACTCGTTGGCATTGTTCCAATGCAGAAATGTGTCTATAAATGGGGGTAAAAAGTGCAGAAAACACACATCAGAGGAGCAGCACCACTGCCCACACACAACAGTTAAATATCGTCATGAGCTGTGCAATTAACGAGGAAACTAGGACATTTGTTTTGACATCCAACCAAGCAAACGATCAAAGAGCCGAGGATACGTTCAAAATTACAGGCATAAAACTGTCCCTCTCCCAACTTATTTATCATTTTTAATGTGTTCAGTAATTGCGGAAAAATTTATGTAGCTGGTAGACGAGCTCCAGCTGAAAGGTGAAAAGATCAAATTAAAAGGAGGATAAATACCTACTGTATGTTTTGGTATTTACTGTATTGTCTCCACTTCCAGAATTGGCAATTTTCCAACTTTAACAAGTTTTACTCTATTAATTACTGCATTTTGTTCTGGTTTGTATATTTAAAGATTGTGAGTTAAAATTCAGTAGACTTTGAACAGAACAACTATTCTAAACAAGTGCGTGTTTAATAACACAATTAAAGTGACTATCTTATATGAGTGCATACTTGTCTTTAAAGAAGTATCATCAGAAGTAAAAATCATGATGAATATTTGCACTTTCATTTTTAAGTCTAACTTATATACTTATAAAGTATTTTTACATTGTGTCAAGAAATACTTTCTCTACCACTGCCAATGGTTGTAGGAATGCTGTTTCAGAGGCTTTTCCAGCCAGAAAAGATTCCATTGCAAACATTTATAATAAATAATAAGCAATAGCGATGCAAAAAGAGGGCTAACCAGCAGTTCTGTAGTGTGAAGATTAAACCTGTGAGCTTCTGGTTATCAGTGTCAGCCACTCTTATCACCTTCCTGCCCTCCCACTCACTTCGGTCTGGATCATGTTGATGCGTCGGGAGCAGAGAGTCTTGACGCAGTTGTAGATGTCCACCACTCCTTCACACTCAGCCATATCCAGCATGACATCCAGCACAATGTAGCAGCCGGTCCTGCCTGCCCCCATACTGGTGCAGAGGAGAGAGGAGAGAGGAGAAGGATCGACAAGCCTGAATTCACCACTGAAATGGAAAAGTCTCAGCGGGGAGCCTTTTAACGATGATTGAGATACTCAAACTCAAATATAATGTGGGTCTTTGTTATGGAAAAAAAGAAAGCAAATACAGTGAACATTATGGTCTAAATTTGAAAGTGTAAAACCTTTTAATTGAAGAGTGAGAAGTTCATTTTCATTCATAATCTGTTTGGTTCAACACAAAGGAAGTCACTTTGGTTCATTTAGGCTGGAGTGAAAGCTGTCAACCCAACTCAGACTTAAAAAAAACGCACCGAGACAATCTTAACAGGTGTGTCTCTACGCCGTTTTTAAACCTATAGTTCATTTACTCCGGTCTAAATCAGCCGATAAGTTGGTAAACCTAATGCGTTGTCTTTGGTTTAGTTTCACATAGAAACATTTTTAAGCAATGTGAAGTGCATCACAGCATTTCAAAAGCCGTTTGTGTTTACTCCTGCTTCCCCCACCCCCCTGGTTTGTTTTTTAAATGATTGAATTAGGGAGCTGTCACACATGAAGTTTTGGATTATTTGGTCGTGACCGAAGAAGAAAAAAAAAAGTCAAATTCTTTCCTTTTTAGTTCTGGTGCGGTTAATGTTCACACTTACAAACAAAACCAACAGCTGTAAGACATCATACAGACCGACAGGTAACGTTTGACTGTCATCCTGCATCATCAGCACTACGATGCCCCACGCAGGGACATCAAATCCTGTTGACTGAGGATGTGCTGCACTTTAATATGAGCAATATTAGACTGCAAATCAATCGCACACTCTACCTTCTGTGATTGAATGAATACAACCACTGCTGCAAAGTGTCGTCAAACAGACTTCATTGAAACCAAAAAACAATTATACAAGCAACGGCCTCGACGTCGTTGTATAATGCACTTCATCCAATCAAAAGGTTAGGCGGTCATATCACAATTGCAACAAACTAAAAATTAGATTTTTGTTTTTGTTTTTCAAGGACCCCCTCTGGACTTCAACCAGGGACATTTGAGGTTGAGTTTACCACAGACACTCTCACTTTTTTTTATTCCTTATTTTACTTTTTGTGTGTGCTTTGTCTGCAATAGAAGAAACAGAGGCAGTAGTCTGACAAGGCATGTCAGAAAACTCTGTTTCCAATACATCTCCTAGAGGACAAATTGTACACCTCAACCAATGCAATTTTTTTTAATGCAAAAACTTAAAATGCACATATTAAGAAGTGGATGCCAATATCCAACAGAGAACTAAAAACCCTTCACTGAAAAGGCTGACATTATCCTTGATTGTCAACAATCCAACTGCCTACGTCTTTGTGAATGTCTTGCTGGTTATGTTTCAAACACAACACCCTGTCTTTTTTCATTTTTGGTATCTGTTTCTATCACCTGTGTGCTCTCTACCTACACATATACACCACCAAGGGGATGGAAGATATTCTGGAAAATGTAGATGAGAACAAACTGAAGCAGGAATAAGCAGAGCGAATTAAGAGTGCAATCAAAGAAAGATATAATTTAAGAGTAGAAGAATACCTGCGGCTGGAATTATTTGAAGCCCGTATACCTGCTAGAGTGTTTAGGTCATTATCATGATGAGTTACCTGCAGTGGACCACCACAGGCCCTCCGTCAGGAGGTGTCGAGGCCTTGACCCGGCGCAGGAAAGCCAGCAGTCCGGTAGCGTGGTACGGCACCCCGTGCTCAGGCCAGGAGGTGAAGTGGAACTGGCACACTTCATGTTTGGCAGGGTAACCTCTCTAAAAAAGACATCAGGCAAATCCAATGAGATGCTTTTAGCATAAGGGAAATAAATAGAAGCCAATTAAACAAACCTGAAGCTGAATGAGAAATGGATTAGTATTGGACTCAAGAGGCTACACAGAGAGTGAGAGCATGACTCACCCTTTCCATAGCGAAGGTGCGCACAGTGTACTCAGCCAGTGTTTCTGTCTTAAGTAGCGTTACTTTAATGTCACCGTAGAGCTCAGTGTCATCAGGCCAATACTTACAGCACTTCATCTGGATAAACAACAGAAAGCTTAAGTTCAGAGAGCTTCACGCACATACTACAGCTGATTGTTCTCGAAAACAAACATTCACGCTGCTAGACGCTGAGATTTCAACAAGCAGAAACATTGCAATGCTCTAATCCGGTTGTGACCTTTGCTAAATATTTGTAATTTTTTTTATCTGATTTCTAGAGGCCTTTCCCACTCTTGGAGATAGAACTTATACTGTCAGTGATGGTGTTACTTTCTTCTCCCTGTCCCCAACCAGACAGCATTGGAAACCTGCACTTTTACGTTTTTAAGTGAATGGCTACTTCATATTTACGTCGATGCAGTGTGTTTTGTGGCATCGACATTTTGTTCGACTGCTGGTTGCGTGGTGTCAACATGCTCTACTACTTCAGGCTGTGGACTCATTTTTTGATTATTTTTCTCACCTACATAAAGCCTGGAGAAGATGTTTCTAAGCAACCAAATCACACATCGATAAAATCTGTGTCAGCTAAGACACCCCTAACGCTCAGGGTAATGGTTATAGTACAGCACTTGTTATTTAAAAAAAATTGCAAGCACTTGCTAAGAACTCAGGAAGGACTGTACAGACAAACGAATGCTTTTCAAATAGCTGGTGCAACCCTCTCCAGAGCATCGAAGACTGAATGGTATGTTCAGTGAAAGCTAAAAATCTACACTTCGTCATATTTATTTGGAATGCTATAACAGTAGGCTACTGTATTCACCACAGACATGAATATTTATGAGAACAGAGGCCACAAAGTTCCTTCATATACATCAAAGCTTTGACCTTGGAGCACAGCCACCAAAGCAAAAAGGTGATCACTCATAACCAGACAGCAGCAGCCATTTCCCCTCACAACATGGAGCGCAGCAGCTCTTCTGATATATAGCGAGCTCCCGGAATATATTCCCTCCATCCATCTTCACAGGTGGCTGGAGAGGTCACAGGACAAAGGGAAGGGGAACTCACCCTGCCCACTTCCACCAGCTTGGTGATCATGACAATACTGAAGCAGTTCTCCTGCCAAACCATCCGCCAGAAGTCATAGATCATCTCCTGCTTGGGGCCTGTAGAGGAGGAGATATACAGTCGATGTATAGAAGTGGGGGGGGGGGGGGGGAGAAGTGAGAAGACAAGGAGGAGGAAGAGAAAGAGAGAAGGATAAAGAGGGCAGAAGGATGAGCCATAAGTCAGAGAAAATAGTAGCAATAACCATCAATGTAGAGGCGCTGTGTATTCCATGCCAGGAAATAGAGTAACAATGTGTCATTCGTGAACTATTGCCCGCTCTGTGTTCTCCTAATACTACAGAGAAATGTCATTTCAATACACCCACAAATCCTCAGCTATTGTGCAAACAAGCGCCTGCATTGCCTTTCCTGGGCACCAGTGGCAGGCACAAATCACAGCCCCCCTGGAGAAGATGACACTTTCATTGATTTAATTACACTCTGGCGTTGATAATATCACAAGGCCCTCCCTCATACCGCCTCCTCTGCCAAACACACTACACCGTTTTTAGTGAGCAAGATGTCTATTCATTTCACCCACGCACTTTGTTTAATAGGAATATTATCTTGTCTCTTGTAACTGACCTGGTTGACTGCACCTTATAATCCTTTATATATGCAGGTAGAATATCATATCTCAGCTGTGTGTGTGTGTGCGTATATATATAAAGCACAATCTCAAAAAAAGAGATGTGCTACTTGTACTGATAGCTATGTTTATGACCCACATTGAAACTATGACATCACATCCTTTTTCAGGCTGAGCGGGGGGGCAATTTCACTAATATTGACTTTGCCTCCAAATCATTTCAACGGAAGCAAATTCAAAGATGCGTTTCATGTTTAGCGGAGATTTCCTAATCTGGAAAAAGAAAGGCCCTTTCCAAAAATACGAAGCAGGTGATCAGTTGAACCATCTCTCAATCAGTTTTATTACCGAAGCGAGTCGAAAAAAGAGGGAAAAAAATATTTTCCATTGAGAAAAGACTTCAGTGTTGTTCTTTGCTCTCGTTCAATGAATAAATATTCTCCAGTTCTGATACAATTTCACCAAGCATCTTTCATAGGATTTTCTGACAATAAATAAGTAAAACCAGCCTCATCCTTTAAAGCCAACTCTGCGGTAAACAGGTTGCCAGTAGAGATGTTTGAGAATCTGAGTGATCTGATGTAATGTTTGGGTGCTAGCTAAGTTATAATTGGAAAGAGCGGAAGCCGTTAAATGGCTTTGCAGGAAGTCTAGCAAAAGGAGCATTGCTTTAATCCAGCCTGTCGATGGCAAAGGCATGGACGAATGTGTCACAATCTGACTGGAATGAAAAGAATTAAAAAAGAAAAGGAAAGTGACACTAAGTCCTACAGAAGATGTTTGTCTCCACAGATAAACAAACAGTAGGGTTAGTACAGTAGCACAGCAGTGAAAACAGTAGTGCTTGTTTTCACTGCTTTTTCTTCCACCTGGCTAAGATCAATCAAAAGGTATGCACTTGACTACATGCTCCAGGGCAAAGACCTGCGAAGGCCAAGAAATACAATAAAGAAGGAGGAGAAAACACCTTACTTGCCTGTGAAAACAAACAAACAGGGCATGTGCAGAGCCAGATACTGGTCTTTACTGTAGTTGACCCTAATTGAGTTGACGCCACCCTGTGTACGTTTTAATGGTAACACGTGGGCAGCTACTTTAACCGCTGCTTTCCCTCCTCTTCACGGTGTTATTCACAGCGCCCTCCCTTGTCAGCAATCACTGTGTTGGTTTCTATGTGGATTAGTGATATCGCATGTTCATTTTTCAGCAGTAGCGGCAGGAGAAGCCCACTAATGCGTCGCCAGAGGGCAGGGTAGTCAGCTGAGAGGCGGATGACATGTGATCCCAGCGGCTGGGTGAATCTGTATGCGTAGCACAACATGCTGCCGCTTTGGACTCGGGCTTTCAGAGTGTGCTTGGCATTTCTCCTCCTCGTCCGCCTCCCCCTCACCCACATCCTGCCTCTTCCTCATCTCTGGACATAATAGAGACTTGGCCCAGAGCACCTGCTGCCTGCTGCACAAGCGCAGCTGCCTTAAGACTCATCTGAAATACAACAAATCAACCTAAACCTGAGGTGACAGTAGTGTGAGGGGCAAGTGGCAGCTTTAATGATGCAGTGTATGTAGCCTACTGTATGATGGCGCTGTGTGTGTATGTCAGTGTACGTGCAGGCACGCCTCATGTGTCTAAGAGTGAAGGTAATGAATTGCAATTAATTATGCCGTCTATAACACACTGTGCTTTGTGGAGCTGTCCTCGACCAAAGAAACTCTAAGTCGACTAATGTTGTGTTCACACGGAATCAGGTAGATGGCAAACTCGATATCATGTTAGTGGACAAAAGCAGGACGATACAATTAGGTAAGGACAGCAGAGAATATGTCCACAGGTAACGGTAGACTGTCTGTTATTGACTGAGTTTGCTAGCTACAGTAACCAACTACCAGCACTGTGTGGGATTAAAATTGCTGCTGGAGAAAACACTAACTAACCTGCAGAAATACTGTCTCCATCACGTACATCTCTCGCGTGTTTGACGGAACAGATAGGTTTAGCTTCTAACGTGTGTAGTTTTACGCTTTTACTGTTTTTACGTGTTTAACTACAGTGATCGTGTGTTGGGCCCTAAAGACTACCACAACAAGGGTGACCTATACTTCATACTGTACATCCCGACACAGACGATCTGCCCATGCAACACCACCTGTGCAGACAATATACTTACTGTGTGGTAGTAGAATTTCAGAAAAAAAGTATGCCTGAAAGAATATTAACTGTACTATATAATATGCTGTATCTGTGACAGCTTGCAGTAAGTGGGGCACTTAACTCTGTAGAGTAGCATAGTTAACAACAGTCATGAACTTTGACAGGACAGGAGAACAGGAAATTAAACTAGTTTCATGCATAACATCATGCTAATTTACAGATTTATACCTACTGTCCACTCTGTCTTTGTGCATTGTATATTGTTCTGTTGGTTATATTTTGTAATATTTTAATAGAATGAAATGAAACATACTGAAAATGCGAACAGTTTTAGGCTTTTTAAGCAGTATTTTTGGAAACGGTAACTAGTAAATGTGTAAAATGTATGGCTTTTTTGTGGTTGTTTGTTTAATCAAAACAATGAGCAGTATTTTATTTAACAAATTAAAGAAACTTTAACATTTTGTTCGTTTGAGTAAAAGTAAAATTTCTTTCAATGCTCCTACTTGCACATTGTGGCACTCTTTACACCTCTGCAAGAGTGCATCTCATGTATGCAGAAAGACTTTGTGAGCAAAATGTGAAAGAGAGAGAGAGAGAGAGAGAGAGAGAGAGAGAGAGAGAGAGAGAGA